GCCGCCTCCGGCTCCCAAAGTGCTAGGATTACAAAGGTGTGAGCCACCATGCCTGGCCCTTGTCTCATGATAAAACATTTTCCTGGCTTATTTATACATTTGTGGCCTCCAAATGAGCCCTGGTTCCTTTGAGTTGGAGGTAATTAGAGACCATAGTCTGGATGAGAGAGGTGTTCTTGCTCCTAGGTTGGTTATTGGTTCTAGGATTTACAATGGTCAGAGTTAAGAAATACACTTTTTTAAAAGAGAAAATAGAGAGTTCACACTGCTTCCAATTTAAGCTTCATTTTATAGTTTTTTTTAACATGTGATTTTATATGTGTGTCTTTTTCTTTTTTACTGAAAACGTTGGTACCTAATTGCCATTAATATAATTACTTTTTTTCTTTTATATAATGATTTCAAATTAACAATACTAATTTTATTGTTGCCAGTATGATTCCTGAATAGAGCTTAGGATTTCTTTTCAGTTCTTTTTTATCCTTAGTATATATGCCTCTAGGAATGTGTACAGTGAAATTATTGTATTTTAAAGGCATATGAAATAATTTATTGTATGGTTAGTCTGTCAACTTGATATCTAGTTGATAGTTCATCTATTTGATTTTGTTTCCAGTTTTTCAGTACTGGTTTTTTTTCATTTTGATTTGATTTATCATGTGCAAAACATTAGCATGATTCCTAAAAAACAAGCACCTATAAAACAAGGGTCATTCAGAGAAGTTTAGCTTTCATCCCTGTTTCCTTCACCCTGTTTGTTTATTTATTTATAGGAAACTGTGAAAACTCAAAACTGTTGGTCATATCAATAGGAATAGGAGCCAATTTAAAGGGGGGGGGGTCTCACTTCCCGTTTTTTACTGGCTTTGGGTTTATTGTTCCCTAAAAAAAAAGCACCTAAAAGCAAATATGCAAGCATCATGGATAAAAGGTTCTATTTACATATGCTGTTTTGTATCTTGCTTTTTAACCTAATAATATATGCCCCGTAGGTCCCTGGATAGAAGTATGTAGACATTGTTACTCTTTTTTATAGTTTCATAGAATTCCATTGGTGGAGGAATATTTAACTAGGGCCCTCTTGATAGGCATTTGTGTTATTTTCTGTTACAAATAATGTTGCAGTGAATATCCTTGTGCATATGTTATTTTGTATTTTTAGCAATGTATCTTTGGTATAGACTGTAAGAAGTAGCATTGTTGATTAAAAGGGTAAATGCATGTATCAGTTGGTAGGTGTTACCAAAATATCCCCTGTGGTAGTTGTACCATTTTACATTCCTGTCTACGATGTGTGTGAATGCCTGTTGTCCCATAGCCTTGCCATCAGACTTTTAATTTTTGGTTAATCTGATATAGAGGAAAGAGTAACTCCGTGTAGTTTTAATTTGTGTTTTTCTTATTATGAACAAGGTTGAACATCTTTTCATATGTTTAAGGCTATTTACATTTATTTTTCTTTGCATTGCTTGTTTATATCTCTTGCCCATGTTTCTGTAGATTTTTTTCCCTAGTTATAAGCTCTTTGTATATTTGGGTAATTAATGCTTT